TTCACACAAGGACCCAAACCTTCACACAAGGACCCAAACCTTCACACAAGAACCCAAACCTTCACACAAGGACCCAAACCTTCACACAAGGACCCAAACCTTCACACAAGGACCCAAACCTTCACACAAGGACCCAAACCTTCACACAAGGACCCAAACCTTCACACAAGAACCCAAACCTTCACACAAGAACCCAAACCTTCCCATAAGAACCCAAACCTTCACATAAGAACCCAAACCTTCACATAAGCACCCAAACCTTCACACAAGGACCCAAACCTTCACACAAGGACCCAAACCTTCACACAAGGACCCAAACCTTCACACAAGGACCCAAACCTTCACACAAGGACCCAAACCTTCACACAAGGACCCAAACCTTCACACAAGGACCCAAACCTTCACACAAGGACCCAAACCTTCACACAAGAACCCAAACCTTCACACAAGAACCCAAACCTTCCCATAAGAACCCAAACCTTCACATAAGAACCCAAACCTTCACATAAGCACCCAAACCTTCACATAAGCACCCAAACCTTCACATAAGAACCCAAACCTTCACACAAGAACCCAAACCTTCACATAAGGACCCAAACTTTCACACAAGGACCCAAACCTTCACAAAAGAACCCAAACTTTCACATAAGAACCCAAACCTTCGCATAAGAACCCAAACCTTCACATAAGGACCCAAACCTTCGCATAAGAACCCAAACTTTCACACAAGGACCCAAACTTTCACACAAGGACCCAAACCTTCACAAAAGAACCCAAACTTTCACATAAGAACCCAAACCTTCACAAAAGAACCCAAACTTTCACACAAGGACCCAAACCTTCACATAAGAACCCAAACCTTCACACAAGGACCCAAACCTTCACATAAGAACCCAAACCTTCACACAAGGACCCAAACCTTCACAATAAAAGTGCCTAAACCCTCTTTAAGACTTAATACAGGAGAAATATCGCAAATCTCTGCCCAATATGGTTATACTGACCTTATATGACGTGAATAAGTATAATGAGATAACTCTATCACGTGACGCGTCCAAAAGACGTCTAAGGAACACGTCGAAGAAAACGGACGAGGCTCTTACATTGTCGACACAATGATTTCTATCAGCATTCTCCATCTATTGTTGTGCTATGTCGGTCTCAAATGATCATATTTCTCCAGTAAGTGTATTTTTTTTATTAATTTTATATAATCTGAGAAAAATCAGTATAGGAGCCAATAGGAGGATTCGAATCCGTTCACCTGCATGCAGGTCGGCGTTCAATCCCCTCTGACCGTCCACTCAAGTGGTTGGGCACTATTTCTTTCCCTGCTCGTCCCATCCTACATCCTTATCCTGACCCCTTCTAAGTGCTATATAGTCGTAATGGCTTGGCGCTTTCCCTCTGATAGTTCCCTTCCCCTTCTCATGTACTCTGGCCTATGGTACACTTATGGTACTCTAGGTACTCTAGTGGTCTAAGGCGTTTGCTTGGGAGTACCAAGTGAGTGGGTTCGAAACCTCTTTTCGTGTCCAGGGGCCAGATTCACGAAAGCACTTACGCAAGCACTTACGAACCTGTACATCTATTCTCAATCTTTGGCGGCTTTGTTTGCAATTATTAAACAGCTAATGAGCTCCGAAGCACCAGGAGGCTGTTTATAACAATAACAACAGTTGATTGGTTAGTTTTCATGCTTGTAAACTGTTTAATAAATGTAACCAAAGCCGTCAAAGATTGAGAAAAGATGTACACGTTCGTAAGTGTTTGCGTAACTGCTTCGTGAATCTGACGCCTGGACGACTTTTCGATCCATCCTGGACTTGTTAATGGTCCAAAACGGACCGAAACATCGTCGCTTCTCCATTTTCTGAGATGTGGGTTGGTCATCAAGAAACATATATTCCTTCCTTATATAATTCTTAAGAGGTTTTGGTTTGCCCTCTTGTGTAATTTTGGGTGGTTTTGTAATATACAATTAAATGACAGTTTACCATTCAAGAACTTTACGTCTGTTGGTCCAAGATGTAATTGTTGTTTTTCCCTAAGATTGTTAGTTTCCTGTGAGTGAATATACAGTCGTAGTGACAGTAGAGGGCAGGACACTCATCCTGTGAGTGAATATACAGTCGTAGTGACAGTAGTGGACAGGACATTCATCCTGTGAGTGAATATACTGTAATAGTGACAGTAATGCGAAAGATACTCATCCTGTGAGTGAATATACCGTCATAGTGACAGTAATGGGCAGGACACTTATCCTGTGAGTGAATATACCGTCATAGTGACAGCAGTGGGCAGCATCACTCATCCCGTGGGCATACATAGTGCTTAAACAGCATCCACAAACCTCCCTCCCCATCCCCCAATAGGAAAAAAATCGACTGGGCTGTCTATCCTGTCCCTTGTACCCAGTCGTATACAAAAACTATCCCCCCCCCCAACCCTAATATTTCACTAGTGTTTTGGGTTAGGCTATTCCCCTAGTCTTCATGAAGAATTCATCTCTTATTATCAGCCTGATGAGTCCGGTGGTGGATAATAAGACTCATCACGTGACGGTGGTGGATAGCGAGACTCATCACGTGCATATAGTTATAGCCATCCAAGCTATACGGAGCTCAGAGACTTCTTATACGTTCAATAGCCAAGAAACTATCTAATCTCGGCATAATACTTCTATAGTTTTCCCCTTTAACTTGCACTAATACTATATTAATTTTACTTGGACTAGCACAACTTATATATATATATATATATATATATATATATATATATATATATATATATATATATATATATATATATATATATATATATATATGTCGTACCTAGTAGCCAGAACGCACTTCTCAGCCTACTATGCAAGGCCAGATTTGCCTAATAAGCCAAGTTTTCATGAATTAATATATTTTCTCAATATTTTTTCTTATGAAATGATAAAGCTACTCATTTCATTACGTATGAGGTCAATTTTTTTTCATTGGAGTTAAAATTAAATAGATATATGACCGAACCTAACCAACCCTACCTAACCTAACCTAACCTATTTTTATAGGTTAGGTTAGGTTAGGTAGCCGAAAAAGTTAGGTTAGGTAGGTTAGGTAATCGGGCCTTGCATCCTGGCTGAGAAGTGTTCTGGCTAAAGTTACGTATATATATATATATATATATATATATATATATATATATATATATATATATATATATATATATATATATATATATATATATATATATATATATATATGTGTGTGTGTGTGTGTGGGATGGAGGGAGAGAGAGAATTGCGTTATATGATAACCACAGGCACCTCACGATAACAAACAATGGGACAATATATCCGGCACCCCCTCCCCCCTCCCCTACCAGTTTCCCCTGGCCACCTGTGCCCTACAAGTGTGCCGCTATGCATTATTCATCACTACATACCTGGCGGCTTTCATTCATTATGTTAATTAGCACCTGGCGGGCCAGGGAGTCAGGTGTCGTTCAGAGCCCTTTCCTGTTTGTAAGCCCTAGCCTAACCTTTCTTACGATTTCTAAGAACTGTTTTTGCTTTTCAGCTGAAAAGAAAAATTTTGACTTTGATCTTGAGAGAGCCACATTAGCAGGCCATCTCTAGTCACACTTTGTCAGTAAAGATTTTAATTATATAATGATATAAGTACGCAAGGGGTGGCCTTAAGTGACCGGTATGGTTTATAAGGGTACATCTGCGCACCATTTTAGCACTTCAGTGCTCAGCCCCGCTCCTGTGCCAGGTAAGTCTACTACGGGCTCACCATAGCCCGTGCTACTTGCAACTTTTGTTCCGAGTAGCTGAATCCAAAACAACAACAAACAGCACCATTTTGGTAGATTTGATTCTCATCAACCTCCGGTCAAGAGAACTGTTCTGGTTCCTCTTGTCTTGAAGCCTCATCGTGTATCGTAAATAAAGCCCTATTCATTTGTATTCTTGATCTGGTGTGATGTTTATATATTTCTCGTCTACGGGCGGGTAAGAGAGATTGACAGGACATGTACTACTGGGGGAGTTTTGCTGTTTAGAATCGTTATCACAGAGAGGATGTGGCCCAGTCATATCTACTGCTACCTCGTGGGAGGTATAGTGTGGCGCAGTCATAGCTACCGCTACCTCGTGGGAGGTGTGGCCCAGGGTGTCACACCTACACATGCTTTCTATTTTATTTGTAGCCATTGGTCACAATTATATGCTTATATGTAAAGCCAGATAATATGTAACATTGTGGGCAGTCAGTATATAGTGTATTCCTTCTCATCATACATTTAGTGGTATGATGAATGCATAGTATGAGCATTCATACTAGTATGAACAGTATATGTGATGAACAAGCCAAATTATGGTCTGCATTTAGTACTCAAAATTATTAATGTCTAGTACAAAATACGAAGATCAATTCTATAAAATTTGGTAGGCTTGAGGTAAGAGACGAAACTGTCTATTTCAATCTAATGTGTAACTCTCATACAAGAATGAAATAGTTACACCGATAGCTGGTACTACTGCCTGGCATTGCGTTCCTCTAGGAGTTTAGGCTATTTTATTATGCAAGTTACCAAAAAGTAAACTATACAAGTAAAATTATTGCCACACTTTTATGTACTTTAGAAAAAGCAGTGTATTATGTACTTTGAATTTGTTTTTATAGACGAATCTAGCAAATACAGAAAGTTTATATGAAATAATTTAAAACTTTAAGATTTCTTTAAAATAAAGTAATGAACATTTCGATTGTTGTAAATAGTTCAACATTTTGAAACCTTTTGCATAAGATTTTCCAAGGCAGAGAGCAGCTAACCCAAATTTTATCAACATCAAATCACCTCATTCGTAATTATTTTATTTTTTCCGCACAAACAGTGGTGTATGTGTTAACAGAGCCTTCCATCCATGGTAAAGTTAAGGGTTAGTTATACTATTGTCATAGGTATTGTAGTACAAAGTTATTTGGAATAGAAATCAAAACAAATTTTATATTAAATATTTTATTTGGAAACTGTATAAAAATATATGTATATATTTATATATATAGGTCCATTACACTTAATACTAGTCTTATATTTTCTATGGGAATGTGAATGATCAGTTAGCAAAAGGGGGAGATGATGCCAATAGCTGACACCCCGCTCCTCCACCAGGACCCCAACACCACCACCACCATCTCCCTCACCACGCGTTAACAACCATCCATCACGGGTGATGATCCCTCTCGCCTCACACGTCACCTTGGGGCACTCGGCTGAGAGGGAGAGCAGTCACTCACTAGTCTTGCTGTAGAGACTGCAGAGTACAAGCACTGCGAGGCGTTGTTGGAGAGGATGAGTCTTGTGGGACCAAGCCAAGTCTTGTGGGACCAGGTGTAGATAGCGTGTAGAGGCCGGCCATGTCAACAAACTTGGCTCCACTACGGTATAAGCTTCATACTTAAGCCGTCTGTAAAGAACAGAGAAAAACTTTTAATGTTTTGAAAAGATCTAAAAGTTTACAATTATTACACTTGCAACCGCATAGTTTAACAAGAAACTTGTTATATAATAGTCGATGGCCTATGTCTTCGCCAGTTTAAAATCATGTATTAGGTCCATAAATTATCAATTTTAGTTAATAAAAACATGACATTGTGACATGGGTAAACGCTTAATGCCTTCGCTTACGTTAAATAGTAAATTATATAAAGAACACAAATCGCCTGGTATACACACACTTCAGGAGCCACATTACAAGACTGTGAAACTTACCATCAAGGGTTGGCGGAGGCATGTATGGTGCGGGGTACAGGTGACAGGTCAGCGGGGTCAGGTCAGGTCATGCTGGCACCTCTTGTGTGGTGGGAGGGGGAGCGGGGAAGGGAGTGCCTTGAGGGGTGCCGTGAGGGCGTGCAAAAGTCTCACTCTGCTTCACTCCTGCAGCAGTTCTTCCACTACCCTAGCGCCCCCAAATGACTCTTTGGACGCTGCTTCGTCGCTCCCGGGAAGACATTTATCCGGAGGCGACGAGGTCTGCGTCCCTTCTCAGGAACTCTCGACGAAGTCCATGTCCTCCTCAGAGGAGGACTCTTCGTCACTGGTGCCCAGGGCGTCCTCGAGGTCGTAGATGTAGTCGATAACAGACTGGATCAGTTCTAACTTTGTCACTGGACGGTCCTTGGGGCAGAGGGGAACCAGGTGCTGGAGGCGCTCTAGGTACATGAGCACCTCGGCGCCTTCAGTCTTGGGTGGAGCCTTGTGGACTTTACCATCCATAACACCCATGACGGCCTGCACGGGGGAGACACAGCGGTGAGCCCTCATCTTCATTAACTCGGCTGGGTATATCACACTAGGAGCAACTATCTGGCTTCGTTCACTCACTGAGAGAGTAAGGAAATTGTACCGCAACTGGCCGATCCGCGCGTATTTATGCGAAAGCTCTGGCAAGGCCCCGCCCCTATGGTCCGCCCAGCCAATCAGAGGCGTCGCAGCCGGGTGTGTGAAGTGGTGCTATGGATAACGTTCGTTCTATTTAATACGTCCACTAATTCACTTATGCTTCTTTAAATATATAGATACGATGACCATTTAATAATAAATACATCAAAATATATTACAGATTTGTCATATATTTTAGGTAAAGTGAGTGGAGAAAGAAAAAGAGAGATGAGGGAGCGCGAGGCGACAACACCGGCGGGATCTGGGAATGCAGCTGGCGGCGGGTGACGTCGACGGTGTATGCGTCAATACTGGTGGTTGCCTTGTCGCACATCTGGCCTCATCTGTCCACCTTGGCCAGGAGGTTCCCACGGGCTTCTACAGCTGACCTGACCCGACCTCCATGCCCACTGCCTCCCCCCTCTGTGACGACCTCTGCCATACGCCCTGGCCAGGACTTCCTCCGTAGCGGGCTTCCGCTGGCGGCGCAGACGAGGCCCCTCATCGCGCAGGTCTCAAGGTAATATTTTTCCTCATAATTTCTTTCCAGATTGAAGATGAGGTTTGAGGAGCCGTGTCAAACATCAGGTCTTTAGTCACAGACTCGGTAGATGTGGCGAACGTGATGTATACTGATTGTAAATTGGAGATATTGCTCCACATGTGTGTGTGTGTGTGTGTGTGTGTGTGTGTGTGTGTGTGTGAGATGGCGCCGCCATGGGCGGCTCCATCTCTCCTGCCTCACCTCTGACGCCCACTGTCACCCACCTGCATCTCCTCCACCACCCCCACCTACCCTCCCCTCACATGTCCCACCCCCACTTATATAGATGGTACATGTCCACTCCCCCTCATGTCCACCCCCCCTCATGTCCACCCCCCAGCTGCCATTCCCACCACACACACACACACCCCGTCACCTTAGCGCCAACCCACACAGCTGTCTATCCCATCATCCCCCACCGCAAGCACAACTAGGTGAATACAGCTGTCTATCCTTTCAACCCTCACAGCTGTCCATTCCCTCAGCTCAACCCCCACACATAGCTGCCTATCCCATCAGCCCTACCCCGCGCAGCTGCCCATCCCAACATCCCCATCCCACCCCCTCCTTCTGTCCTTGACACCACCTGAAACAGACCCCCCCCCCCTTAAGAAAACCTAGATACAGCTGTTTCCCCTTAACACAACCCACGCTACTGTCCTTACCAGCTGTTCATTCCTGCAGCTGCCCCCCCCCCTTCCCCCCTCCCATCACTTATACTCCCAACACAGCTGCCCCCTTACCCCCCCCCCCCCCATCCCGTCACCCATACCCCAACACAGGAGGATACAATCCTGGAGTATGCAGCACCAGCCTGGAGTCCATACTTAGTTAAACACAAGACATAGAGAAGAATCAGAGGTACGTCACCAGACTAGTCCCAGAACTGAAAGGTCTGAGCCACGAGGAAAGGCTACGGGAGCTAAACCTCACGTCCCTGGAATACAGAAGAGTAACAGGAAACATGATCACCACCTACAAAATTCTGAGAGGAATTGACAGGGTAGACAAAGACAAACTATTTAGCACGAGTGGAACACGAACAAGGGGACACAGGTGGAAATGTAGTACCTAAATGAGCTACAGAGACATTAGAAATAATTTTTTCAGTGTCAGAGTAGTTAACAAATGGAATGCATTAGGCAGTGATGTGGAGGAGGCTGACTCCATACACAGTTTCAATTTTAAATTTGATAGGCTCTAGAATCTGTACGCCAGTTGGTTGACAGGCGGGACCACGGAGCCAAAGCTCAACCCCTGCAAGCACAACTAGGTGAGTATAGATGTCCCCTCGTCAACACAGATGTCCCCTCGTCAACACAGATGTCCCCTCGTCAGCACAGATGTCCCATCGTCAACACAGATGTCCCCTCGTCAACACAGATGTCACCTCGTCAACACAGATGTCCCCTCGTCAACACAGATGTCACCTCGTCAACACAGATGTCCCCCTCGTCAACACAGATGTCCCCTCGTCAACACAGATGTCCCCTCGTCAACACAGATGTCCCCTCGTCAACACAGATGTCCCCTCGTCAACACAGATGTCCCCTCGTCAACACAGATGTCCCCTCGTCAACACAGATGTCCCCTCGTCAACACAGATGTCCCCTCGTCAACACAGATGTCCCCTCGTCAACACAGATGTCCCCTCGTCAACACAGATGTCCCCTCGTCAACACAGATGTCCCCTCGTCAACACAGATGTCCCCTCGTCAACACAGATGTCACCTCGTCAACACAGGTGTCGTCCCCTCGTCAACACAGATGTCCCCTCGTCAACACAGATGTCCCCTCGTCAACACAGATGTCCCCTCGTCGATACAGATGTCACCTCGTCGACACAGATGTCCCCTCGTCAACACAGATGTCCCCTCGTCAACACAGGTGTCCCCTCGTCAACACAGATGTCCCCTCGTCAACACAGATGTCCCCTCGTCAACACAGATGTCCCCTCGTCAACACAGATGTCCCCTCGTCGATACAGATGTCACCTCGTCAACACAGATGTCCCCTCGTCAACACAGATGTCCCCTCGTCAACACAGATGTCACCTCGTCAACACAGGTGTCGTCCCCTCGTCAACACAGATGTCCCCTCGTCAACACAGATGTCCCCTCGTCAACACAGATGTCCCCTCGTCAACACAGATGTCCCCTCGTCAACACAGATGTCCCCTCGTCAACACAGATGTCACCTCGTCAACACAGATGTCCCCTCGTCAACACAGATGTCACCTCGTCAACACAGATGTCACCTCGTCAACACAGGTGTCACCTCGTCAACACAGGTGTCGTCCCTTCGTCAACATATCCACACATTAACTGTTCCGTAGTCATGAGTAAGTTCGCAGACAAGTTAGCCAGAGAGACACGAAGCATCTGTCTGTGTCAACATGGCCGCCAACAGCAGCCAGATATAAAGACCTATACACACACACGACTTGATAATGGTCCAGGACGGACCGAAACATCATCGGTTCATCTTCTGATGTGTGGTTTGCTCATCATATCTTCAGCCACGTTATTGTGACTCATCGTCTACACGCAGAGCTATAACATGAGTTTGGACAATGATTCATGCAGGAACACTGATTCCTCTGTAACCCATCAGCTGCCTGGTATAAGGAGATGCTGCCAGATGCACTCCATTCGCCTTCATGACGGCTGGAGGCCCTAAATAACGCCAGCTGCCACTATTGGCTAATCACATCCTTAAAAGAGATTGGGATCAACACAAGAGGTGCTAATAGTGCGGTTGGATATCATTTTCCGTCAACCCGTCACTTCATTTAGGCAAATGAAGGACTTTTTCCAATATATCACAAGTATATTGTTGGCACAATACAATATTACATACACAGCGAGAAGTTTACCCTTCTTCTCAGTGTACTCACCTAATTGTGCTTGCGGGGGTTGAGCTTTGGCTCTTTGGTCCCTCTTCTCAACCATTAATCAACTGGTTTCCAGATTCCTGAGCCTATTGGGGTCTATCATACCTACATTTGAAACTGTGTATGGAGTCTGCCTCCGCCACATCACTGCCTAGTGCATTTCATTTGTTAACTACTGACACTAAAACAATTCTTTCTAACGTCTCTGTGGCTCATCTGGGTACTAAGTTTCAACCTGTGTCCCTTTGTTCGTGTTCCACCAGTGATGAAGAGTTTGTCTTTGTTCACCCTGTCAATTCCCCTGAGAATTTTGTAGGTGGCTATCATGTCTCCCCTTACTCTTCTGTTTTCCAGGGATGTGAGGTACAGCTCCTTTAGCCTTTCCTCATAGCTCATTCCTCTCAGTTTCGAGACGAGCATGGTGGCATAATGCTGAATCTTCTCTAACTTTGTGTTGTGTTTAACTAGGTATGGACTCCAGGCTGGAGCTGCATACTCCAGGATTGGTCTTACATAAGTGGTATACAGGGTTCTGAAAGATTCCTTACACAAGTTTCTGAAGGCAGTTCTTATGTTGGCCAGTCTAGCATATGCCGCTGATGATATTCTTTTGATGTGGGCCTCTGGGGACAGGTTCGGTGTGATATCAACCCCCAGATCCTTCTCTCTATTTGATTCTTGCAGGATTTCCCCTCCCAGATGATACCTTGTGTTCAGCCTCCTGCTCCCTTCGCCTAATTTCATCACCTTACACTTTCCAGAGTTGAACTTCAGCAGCCATTTTCTAGACCATTCCTCCAGATGTGCGATAGAGTTATTAAGAAGAACGTTTTTAGTGTGAGAGTAGTTAACAAATGGAGTGCATTAGGCAGTGATGTGGTGGAGGCAGACTCCATACACAGTTTCAAATGTAGATATGATAGAGCCTAATAGGCTCAGGAACCTGTACATGAGTCTATTGGCAGTTGAGAGGCGGGGCCAAAGAGCCGAAGCTCAACCCTCGCAACCACAACTAGGTGAGTTCACCCACCAGGAAGCAGCCCGTAGCAGCTGTCTAACTCCCAAGTACCTATTTACTGGTAGGTGAATAGGAGCATCAGGGCGAAAGAAACTTTGCCCAATCGTTTCTGCCTCGGCCAGGAATCGAACCCGGGGCCCCTTATGATTACGAACCCCGAGAGCTGTCCACTCAGCCGCGAGTCCCCCCATTTTGTGTGAGAGAGAGAGAGAGAGAGGGGGAGGGAGGGAGAGAGAGAGAGAGAGAGAGAGAGAGAGAGAGAGAGAGAGAGAGGTGGGGAGGGGGGAGGCTCCGGAAGTTCATCATTAACACGAATTTGGCAAGTGTCGGCCCAACCTATCCCACAACACAATCCCCGTCTCCTATCCCACCTCCCCCTGTCCCTTCCCATCCCCCAGCCCCTCCCCCTACGTGTTCCCCCCACCCCCCACTCCCTCTCCCTGTGAATGACGATAGCCACCAACCCTCCCCCGATAACGGTCTCTGCCCGCCCAAATGCTACACGATGGACAA